CTAGACAAGTGCTTTACCACTGAGCTACAAGCCTCCATGTGTTTTTCTGATACTTGTGTGCCTAAAAGCATCACTATATACTTCCCATATTTGATTGCTGAGTGTCTGCTGCATGCATTAAGTTCTGGACCAAACTTAAGTTTTCTAGACTCTTACTAAGTCTTTCCTCACCACCACCATTCCCCCACTTTGCAAATAAATAATAACCACCTTTGTGTTTCTCTTGACTGGCCCTCTACCAATAACTATTATTTTGGTCTGAACCTCAAGTGCTCTTCAATTCAATTATAAGAAAGGAGCACAGCCTTCCTCCTTATTCATCCACTCTTCTCTGATTCAGTCCCTGATGAGGAGGACTCCTGAGGCTTGCCCTGCCTCTGGGAGGTAATGGTGGACCGAGAGCTACTGGAGGTGAGGAAGTTATTATCTTTAGTGATGTAGCTACCAGTGAGTTACTTGTGCTTCATACCCATGCCTGGTTTAAACCCAGTGGGTCACAAAACAGAATAAAAAAAAAAGAGGCATGAAAGTAGAATGGGGACTTGATGAGAGGAAGGAGGGATGGGGGGGGGTGTAGAAAGAGGCTAAAAGAGAATGGAGGTAAGTGTGGCCAGAATGTGTTATATACATGTAGGAAATTGTCAAAGAATAAGTAAAACGTTTTTTTTGTTTTTTGTTTTTTTTTTTTAAAGAGCACTCTCAAACTGCAATCCCAAAGCCACAGTGGATGGGAGATAAAGGGAAATTCACCTTCTATAAGGCAGACGTGGAATGAATGTCTTTGAAAGAGTCCAGAATTCTGAATTGGCTCTTGGCAATAATTATCTAATTGAGCAGGTCTCCTTTATTTCTAAAACTAAACTGTGCAGCTGTTTCTCCTCCTTACAGAAGAGGACAGCATGATAATTTAGGAGGTCCACAAAGAAGGGAAGAAGGCAGCCTGCCTCTTCATTTGTTCAGCCCAGCGTGTTTGAATAGGTAAAGTCCCTGCCCTCAGGAAACTAATAGTCAAGGATGGAGGATGTAGTGTGTGTGGGGGGGGGGCAACTGACACTGTGAAAATAGAGTCACAAACACAGCAAGGTGTCAGCTCTAAATCACACAGGACAAAGGATTCCAAAGTCAAATCATGAAGTTGGCACTTCCAGCGTGGGGAAGGGAGTAAGAACAACATTAGCAAAGTAAGATGGACTAAGACAGGATAGCTCTGGAAAATACCTGTAGTTAGAATGTGGTTTATGAAGGGCGTGAACATAAGAGGCCAGTCAGCAGGGTTGGGCAAGGGCTCAGCGGGTGGCAGGCTTTTGTTTCAAGTAGGCGAAATTCTTCCCACTCATTCCATAGAAGGTGGAGAGATTGAAATAAATAAATTTGTTTTTAGAGCTTCTGGAGTGTAGAGAACGCATGGGAAGGGGGGAACCTGGAGAAAGACCAGTTAGGAAGTGATTAGTGTCCCAGGAAAGAGACGACAGCAGCCCGGGAAAGCGCAGGTCCACAGTGCTGCACCAAGAGAGTGGATGATTCTAAGGCAATGGGAAACAAAAGGCTGATCCCAGCCCTTCCCAGGAGGAAGAGGCTGGGGAGAGAGAAGAATGAGGGGAACTACAACATAGGGTAGGCTGAGTGCAGCTGATGCTCTGAGGCCCTGATTGCACATCTCCTCCAGGGCACTAACTGTATCTCTGTCCATGCTTCTTTTATAGCCACCTTGTCATGCACATTTTCTAAAGGATAAAGAATGGACACACCACTTCTCTTCTGAACCTCAGTTCCCATCTACAGAATGAAAGGACTAGACTTACTGGGACAGAGACCTTTCCTCCTCCCCAAGATGAACAAGTTCGCCTCAGTTTTACTTAATTTTGGCTGCCTGTAATCTGCATGCCCTGTCTTGCTAAGGAGACTCTGAACCCCCAGAGGGTAAGACTGCCCTGTGTCCAGTGCCCTGTGCCTGATGCCCTGTATCCTGGTATCTTCCACCAGCTGTAGAGGTTCCATCAGGACTGTCAGTATTCATGAATGTGAGTCAGCTCTTCTCTCCTTATCCCCATCATCCCTCTACTACAGAGCTGCCAGATGCTGGACACAGAGCACATTATCAACTGTGCCATCCTGGACTGGGCATTTTCTTACTCAGTGCCTCACCGGGAAGCACTTGGAGTTCAGGAGGAAGAAGAAAGTTGATGGGAAAGAGCATGTGATTATAGTCTGCCTGCCTCATGAACCTGAATCCAGAATTTTGGTCCTGTGTCTTGTAGGTGTGTGGTGTGTGTGAGGTGTGTGTGTGTGTGTGTGTGTGTCTGTCTGTCTGTCTGTCTGTCTGTCTGTCTGTAAATACACATTCATGCATGAGGATCAGCTGTGAGTCTCCCTGTATAGTATATGTCTGTGTATATGTTTGTACTTAAAGAGCAATACATGATTTAAGTATTATGACAATATGCATGTTAGCATTGAATATCAACACCTGTATGCATGCTTCTGTTTGCTAATTCATATATCTGTTCACACATGTCAGTCAACACATACACATACACATATTTTATATTGTTACATACATCTATGACAGAATATATATATGCACATATATGTCATATGAAGCTGTGCTATTCTGTGTGTACTGTGTTAATGTAGGCAGAACACAGAGTTTAACTAGGAGCTTGTGCTCCAAAGTCTGCCTACCTGGGCATAAGCCTTGACCTCAGCATTTAAAATCTATAATCTCCCCACCACAAAGATGGTTTACTCATCTTTAAATTAGACAAAATAATTGCACCTACCTTTGGTATTTAATGTGAAGGCAGGATGCCCATAGTGCATGTTAAAAATATTGATCATTATAAAATTATTCATGCTAGTACTAAATATGTAAGTGGCTGATCTGGAGGACTTACGTGCAACTTTCCATATGTGAAGATATAGCCTTGGGCACATGACTTTAACAACCTTAGTATGAATATCCATTAGGCATTGTATGTTAGTATAGATGGAAGCATTGATGTGCACAGGACAGGTATATATGCATTTGAGTGTGGTATTCTTAAGGATGTTCTAGCAGAACCCATCTGAGGGAAAGAACTGTGCTTCATGTATTATCTCAGCTAGAACCCAGGCCTGAGTTTTAGCAGATATTTGGTACATTTATATTGACCAAATGAACAAAGTGGATGAACTAATCAGAGACTGCTGTTCAAATAGCATGCTCATTTGTTGGAAAAGTAAAAAGCAGGTACAAGTAGTTACCTAGCTAGCTTTATGACACATAGGTGGATAAATAAGTTGATAAGTAGGTGAGAGGGAGGGCAAGATAGATGATAGATATAGATACCAACAGACATATAGACAGCAGTATTTGTACATCCAAGTTTAGCTTTAGTTGGGTAAAATTCTGTCAACTTTTTCTGGAGGAGACACCCAAGTTCACATTTCCCAGAAAGGCCCGGTGTTTTGTTCCTGGTAGCTTTATGTGTTATCTTGGGCTTGCTGCAAGGGCTTGCTGAAAAGGGAGTCACGGATGGAAAAGGTACCTCTCCTACCTCACAGCAACAAGAGTCTGTTTGCTTTCACCTCTATTGGGGTTCATGTAGAGTTATACTTAAAAGAAGAATTATATCATTTAAAGATTTAAGAACCTTGTTCTAGGCCAGGCAGTGGTGGTACACATCTTTAATCCCAGCACTTGGGAGGCAGAGCCAGGCAGATCTCTGTGAGTTCAAGGCCAGCCTGGTCTACAGAGTGAGATCTAGGACAGGCACCAAAACTATACAGTTCTGGCCCCAAACCTTTCATTCTACTGAATATAGAAACTGGGCCATAGAGAGGGGGAGATTTTTATAATGTCCAGACCTCTGCTGTAGGCCAGTTTCTGCCATACCACCTACCTCCCTTGGAATGCAGTAGACATGGATCTTAAAGCTTACAGAGAACTAGATGTTCTCATAGTGGCCTATGGGATGTTGAGACCCACCCATGAAGTTAGTCTCATAGGTTGCTTGGTGTTGGGTGATCCCACTTACCCAGTCTCAGCTGGGGGGATCTAGGAAACATCCTGACTTAAACAGCAAGTTGGATTGTCCTAAGGCAGTGCGAGTGTGGGACAGCAAGATACTAGACCATTGCTGCTGCTCTCTGAACTAGGAAGTTACGTGTAACTGAGATGCAGGAGACACACAAAGATAAGCAGGTGTACCAGCGATGTAGCTTCAGGAAGACTGACAGATAGAAAGATGGACAAACTGCAGCATCTCATGGCTTCTCCAATCTGACTTGGTGTGTGTGCAACTAGGATCTACTCTTTGCCCCTGGTCTTGTTGCTCCAATATCATCACATTATTTAATATACTCTTCAGAAATCATAAGTTAGTAAGGCTAGACTCTGATATACCTATAATTATTCCCCTTTTGCCTGAGTTAGTTGGAGTGAGTCTCAATGTTTTGGAACCACATCCTGTCTGAACAAGGCCATGCCCTGGAAACTCTCCACAGACAGGAGTGCTTAGCACCCAGGCTCTCACTCTGGTTTCTATTGTTCTCCCAGAGGCCATCTTGGAGAGGCCTCCTGTGTACCTGTGAGGAAAGGAAGCATTCCTCATTGGTCAAGTCTTTGTTAAGTGCTTTGTGATAATTCATTTAGAGTCTTCAGGAAGGGACATTACCTACCTTCCAGGTTTTCTCACTAGAGTCCCACACCAGGGTTGATGCCTGGCTTTCAGCCTGGGTTCTCCCACTTCGTCCTCCAGAGCAAGCACACCACAATGATAACAGCAGGTGCTGGTCCCCAAAGTGATGGCAGTGCTGCATCAAAATAAAGCAGTTCCTCCAGCATCCAGGACCCAAGTGTAGAGATGTGTGTAGTTCTAGGTACCATTGTAGTGGTGGAAGGCATAGAGGAGTAGGGGTACCAGTCTCCCCGTTGAGAGTCCTCAACCCCCTCCCCACAATTACATGTTCCCATGCGGCTGTTTAGACAAGAATAGAAACACATCAGAGAAAATGAATGCAAGAGTCAATGTGCTTCAATTCACCAGCTGTCAGGACAGGAGACATTTAGGAAGAATCATGGATTTCCCACCTACTAACAGAACACCTCTATCCAGGAGTTATCAATACGCATTGCACTTCCACTCATGACTAGTACCAAAGAGGCACCAAGTGGGTTCAGGTTCTCTTTCCGAGCCTCACTAATGAGTGAGGAAGTTGGCACAGGACAAGCTGGTAGGGCCTCAGCACGAGGAAAAGAGGAACGTAAAGGAGAATGCTCTTCCCTTTCTCCAAACCCCATCTACCCTTGAACCAGGGTTGTTCACGTGATACACAGAGGAATCCAGCTCTACTGAAGGGTGGATATGAGCCATGGCCAGAGGGAAGAACATGAGCTTCTAGGCCAGATGCCCAGCTGGTCTCTCAGAACAGCCAAGTCAGGAAGACAGGCAGGAAGAACGTGGGCCAGACCATCAAGAACCCTGAAACACAAGAGACATGAGTCAAATGTTGAGCTTTGGAGCTTAGCTGCCAATGCCAGCTGGCCTCCTTGTCACTTGCTGTAGAAGAAGGGGGAGGCAACATAGGCCTAGATTTGGTTGGGACAACAACTGCTTTTTCCATTTTCTTCTGGGCACATGGAAGGCAATTTTCTCAGCCTTCTTTGGTACCATATGACTAGATCTTGTCAATGAAATAAGGATGGAAATTATAAATTCCATTTGTAGGACTAGTCATGAAAGCCTCCAGCATGATCTTTCCTTTTGCCAAGTGTCCAAGATAGTGATGTTACTAGGAATTACCAGAGGGTAGAAGGAGCCTGGCTTCCTAAAGAACTCCTAAATCAGAGCTATAACTCCTAGCACAACAGCACAGAGAATTTCCGGTTATTGGTTATAGCATCTAGCATTACTTAGAGTGACTAATAATGAAGAGGCAGGAAGGATTAGAATGTACTAAACTCTGAGGCTTGATTATTTAGCTAGGAATCTTAGCTCTGCAGCTACCTGGGTAGAACTGAACAAGACATTACACTTCCCTGGTCCCAAATTTCCCTATGTATAAAATGTAACTATTAATGGCACTTATTGATTTATCAGGTTTAAATGAATCAATTCATATCAAGCATTTAGTATAGCATTTGTGGACTGGGAACTGTAGCTTAGGGGCAATATGGTTGTATGGCAAATGTGTGGTTTTTAGGTTCAATCTCTAATGCTGCAATAAGATAAAATATAAAATATGTGGGCCTAGAATGTGGTAAGTATTGTGTGAGTGTTATTTTTGAAAATTAGACTTTGGCTGGGTGGTGGTGGCACATGCTTTTAATCCCAGCACTCAGGAGGCAGAGGCAGGCGGATGGATCTCTCTGTGAGTTCAAGGCCAACCTGGTCTACAGAGAGAGTTCCAGGACAGGCTCCAAAGCTACACAGAGAAACCCTGTCTCAATAAAATGAAATAAAATAAAATGAAATAAAATTAGACTTTGATAGCTAGGATTTGTGTGTGTGTGTGTGTGTGTGTGTGTGTGTGTGTGTGTGTGTGTGTGTGTGTCTTCTGCACACTATTTAATGTTCAGTGTTGAGGGGGAAATTATTGGATGACAGCCATCTTGTATAAGCATGTCAACCCCTTTGAAATCACCACCAAATTACAGCATCTCCTCATCCCCAACAATTCAAAGTCACTTGATGATGCCCTAGAGAGTTGGGAAGGGAAAGTGTGATTGTCAGAAACACAAAACGTATGTCAGAGTTTTGACAGTGAAACTTCGATGGTTGATCAGTTAATCCTGAAGCATCAAAAGTGATCCCAAGTGATTGCAAAGTATGAGAGCCACAGGGCCCTCCATGGTAGTTTGTACCCTCTCATTAGCTCCATCCCCCTCAGCCTTAGAAGGCTCCAAAGTCTGCATCCCACCCTGAGAAGTTCTGATTACTGTGCTAACCTGAAGGTGGAAATAAAGGAGACTTGAGGTCCCTGACTTCAAGGCACTTTTACTCTGTGCTCCATGCATTTCACACAATGAGACTGTCTTTTCTGAATACCATCTGAAGTTACCACTGAACTGTACTTATTTGGGAAATATTTAGACTGCCACAAAGTTGAGAGTTTGAATACAAAAGAACATTTTCCTGTCTGTGTTCACTAATATCTGTCTTTCAGAGGATAGAAAAGTATATTTTCCATCTTGTCCAAACACATTCTTCAATGTCTCTGGTCTTAAATTCTAAGTCATTCATCAAAACCTCACTTAGATATATCTGTGCCATGTGAAACTCTCTTGACCATCTCTGCTATGGTTAATTAGGTCTCTATGCATCCCTGCTCTGTCCACCTGCTTGTCACTGAACAGCTTATGCCCTGTCTCATTTATTTAGTCAGCTATTGTTGACTGCTGTAGAGTTCCATTCACCTAACACTTCCTGATCCAGAGACATTTTAGCTCTTGGTCAAATATCATTTCCTCTAACAGCTCTGACCCACTCTCTCTTCCTATTTTGATCATTAAACAATCAAACATTGTTTGGGCACATGGCCATCCAAAACAAAGATACCATTTCCCAGGTTCTTTTGCAGCCAGGCATAGCCATGTAGCAAGAAAATAAACAATGAAATATATAAATGGAGGTGGGAGATGCCAGCCCTCAGAATATTCCATAACACTCTTTGAGTTCCTTCATGTTCTTCCATCTTGAAGTCTGCTGTTTTCTTGGACCATAAAAATGATGGCTACCCATGAAAAAGCAAGCTGAAAGAAGCTTGAATCTTTGATTGCTCACCAATCATCGATTTTCTTACACAAAGATTTCACTTATGTTAGAGAAATAAACTTCTCTCTGATTTAAGACTGTATCACTTGTGTCTGTAGCTTCCTATCATGCCACCCATCTTTTATTCTAATTGAATAATTTTTTGCTTTGTATTGTCCATTTCTCACCCTGGAACATAAGCTCTAGGAAGGGCACACACCTGGCCTGTCTTTGATCAGCAACATGTTATCAGTTCCCAGCACAGAGTAGCACTTAGTAAACACTTGCTGTTAAGCAACTGTCTTCTCTGCTAGATTATAGACGCCCTCTTGGTTAGCGTCATTTCACTGGCCACGGTCCCCAGAAGAGGGCCCGGCACATTGACGGGGGTGCGTAGATGTCCAGAGGGTTGGAGGATGGAAGGAAAGAGACTTGGCAGTGCTGTGAGAAGCATAAGGAAGCCATGTACCTGCAGTGCTGGGAGTCCCACTTGAGGCATCAAGAGTCTGAGCACCTGTGGGCAAGAGCAGAAGATGAGGCTCTCCTTGGTCAGGTTCTGATGATTGCAATCCTGGAGCGATAACTGTTCCAAGTCCTCCTGGACCTGATCACCACTCCCAAAAGCAATCCTCACCGTGGGGGCCTCTACTATCTGGCAGGCACATATCTAAGCACATTCTATGCCGCTTCCACCTAATTTTCCTAGTGGATTTGTGAAGAAAGTATCTTCATCTCCCATTTGGCTGATGGGAAGACAGAGTCTCAGTGATATCCAAGAACTCACTAAGTTGACATTTCAGACCCTATCAGAGCTGGGATACTAAATGCAGTGTGATGGTTACTTTCCATTGTCAACTAGAAAAGGTTGAGAGGTGCGTAGGAGATGGCAAAGTACAGTTCTGGGCGTGTCTGTGAGGGATTTTTCCAGAGATCAACTAAGGAGTAAAAGACTTCCCTAAAAGTGTGTGTACTGCTCTATAGCCTGGAACGCTGGTGGGTTAAAGAGGGAAGGTGAAAGCTCCATGGACTCCCTCCCTCTCCCTCCCTTCTCCCTGCCCCCCTTTTCCCTTCCTGGTTGCAATGAATTGAACAGCTTTATTCTACCTCATTCTTCTCTGTAACATTCTGCCTGGCTAGAGGCCCAGGAACATGGAGGCAAGCCACTGTGGATCAAAACCTCTGAAGTTGTGAGCCCAAATAGATCTTCCCTCTTTAAGTCATTTCCTTAGCAGTCTAGTCACAGCAATGGATAGCTAACAAGATCCACTGTGGATCAAAACCTCTGAAGTTGTGAGCCCAAATAGATCTTCCCTCTTTAAGTCATTTCCTTAGCAGTCTAGTCACAGCAATGGATAGCTAACAAGACCTGTGTGGTTGTCTCCACTGTGGATGCCCATAATCTCTCCATCTCAGGTTGTTCTGTGACACTGCACAGGCTTTAAGTTAACAGTTCAGCAAGGGGACAGGACCACTCAAGGCAGACCCTCTCCATGAGACAGCTCGGCTTGGTTATCTCAGAGGTGGAAGAGGGAACAGGGCTGACCTCCTAAGGCTGCCGTGAGCAGCCAAGCTCATGATATGTGTAAAGCTGTTCAGCACAGAGTGCAAGTAAAAAAATATTGTTATTTGAGGAGAATTAACATTATTGCATCTCAATCTTTTCAAGGCAGCAAGCTCTTTCTTTTTTGATAGGAAGGGTTCTTGTGGTGTAAATAAAAACCACAACAGTACTATACACACTTGTGTAGGATGAATGAAGAGTTACAGAGTGGTTGCATAGCTTCCCACGTGTCCTATCTCCTTTAGAAGGCACATTCACCCTAGTGGGGCTGAATTACAGAACCCTGTGTAAGCTGCGGGGAAAGGCAGTGGAATCAGACTCATCTGGGTTCATTCTAACTTCTGCCACTCATTCATCGTGGGTGAATCTATTAATGTCTCCGAGCCTTGGATCCTAACCAACTAGATGGACACAGTCATGGGAGGATTAAGTAGACGGATGAATGCGAGAGTTACACCTGGTTTCTAATACACAGGCACCACCATAAATGCCAAGACCGTTCCACCTCATAGAAAGACACATTCATCAGTGATAGGTGGAGTGAGAGGGCAGAAACACTCACATGGCTGGCACTGGTGCCCCCCAAGTATCAATAGTTAATTATCGGCACTTGGCCAACTGTCCTTGCACCAGGACTCACCCACTTACCTCTCCTAGTGATGGGTCCTAAATCTAGAACCTGGGCTAGGTTGATGCCTGGCCCATTGCTGCGGAGCCGGTTTGTAGAACAAGACTGTGGAGACATAGAACTCTTGTTATATCAAAATTTAAATACCTGGTCCCTATGTGTAGATTACCATGGGTATGGACATCTGTGGACCTGTGGCCTAAGTACTTGGATATCTCACCAAATAGCCTTCTTTTTGATGCTGGGGTTTCTTTCAACCATGAGAATACAGCCATAACATACCTGGGTTTGACTCTCATCTCTATCCTCTCATATAATTGAGACAAACGTCTTTATCTGTCTATGATCAAATAGTTTGTATCTGGTTTTATTTAGCTGGCTATACATTCATTCATTTATGCAGGCAAGCATGTGAGGAGGCCAAGGATTGGCCAGTGTCATTCTATATTGCTGTCACCTTACTTTTTGATACAAGGTCTCTCAGTGAACCTAGAACTTGTCCTTTTGGTTAGGCTGGTGATCTAGCGAGACCCCAGAATCCTCCTCTCTCTACTCCCCAGGACTTGGGTTACAAACACACGGGTTTTCACATGGGTTCTGGGGATCCAAACTTGGGTACCCAGGCTTGTCTAGCAAGCACTTTACCATCCAGATCTCCCCAGCCCTGCACCCTGGTTTTAAACATTAAAATGAAGTATAACAGCAACATATGGACACATTGTAAGCACCTGAGGAATACCAGCCACTCAGACAGTGCCCATCAGGGTTAAAAGTATGGGCATCGGAGTCATAGCTCACATGGGGAACATCCCAGTTTTGATACTCTAGCCCTGTATGGGGCTGTGTGTCAGGTTCTCTGAGCCTCAGTTTCTTTATCTGCACAGTGAGGCTTGACTAAATGGTCATTGTGAGAGCTCAAGTACATGAAGATGTGGGAGCTTTAGTGCAGAGCCTGACACAGAGAAGGAATGGAAACAGCCTTACCACAGGATCACATTCGTGCCTCATTGAAAGCCCGAGGTTCAGAAGTATCCAGCATTTGGGAGTTTCTCAGATTTTGGAACATTCACAGTCTTTACAAGTTAGTCATTTATAATCTGAGAATCTGTCACCCAACATTTCCCCAAATCTGAAACTTTTTGAGCTTCATCTTGTCCCTTAAAACCTTTAAGACTTTGGAACATTTTGGGTTTGAAATTTTTGAATCAATGATGCTCAACCTGTAATATAATCATTTATAATAGATGCTATATGAATGAAAGCTAATCTGCATTGTGAAGAGACAATAACTGCTCATAAGTAGGCTATGGGGATGCTCAGAGTCTATCTGTCCATCTTTCTTCTTTACTTGTATCCTCTTACATTCTTTTCCTTGCATTCAGCCACTCACCCATCTGTCTCTCCACCTTTTCAAGCAATCATCCATCCATCCATCCAACCAACTTTCTTTCTTCCTCCCCTCCCCTCTTCCCTCCCTGCTTCTGCTCCTCTTTCTCCCTTCCTTCCTTCTGTCTATGCATTCATCCATCCTTCTTTCCATCCATGCCTCCATCTGTGAACCCAATAAATGTATGTGGAGAGCCAACTGGGTACCAGTCCAAAGAGACACTCACTGGTTCACACTGCTCCTCAGTGGGGTCACACAGGTAAACCTCACAATGCAGGAACACTAGGTCGTAATTTCCAGCAAACATGAACATCTGTACTGAGAATCGGCTTTCTGAGGACACTCCATTCTCCTCCACATGGATAGTAGAGTCACGTTGATTTGGGCAGCTGGGAGAATGAAAAGGGCAAAGATGTAACTTCTAACCCAACACTGCAGAACATTAAAGAGCTCTCGACCCCAGGCTCTGTCCATCATTCTTTCATGACATTTCTAGTTGGTCTTTCCTCAATAAGCTTCTATCATTAAGTTTTGAGGTGCACAGTTTCTGGGGTGAGCCAGAAGATTCCAGTCCCCATATCTAGGTAAGTGATGCAGGCCTGGTTAATCATTCTTATTGTGCCTCCAAGGACTAGTTTCTTTGTTCCCCCACACACACATTCTTTTTAAATTTTCTGTATTCTTGAGAATTATATACATGTATACAATGAAATGTGATCATGCCTTCCATTTTCCCCCAGTTCTCCCATGTATCCCTTGGCTATAAAGCAGAGATAGTCATGTCCATTTCATATAATTGATACGAGAATTTAGTGAGGCCACAGTGTGCATTTTCTTATTACAGAGCTTGGCACGCAGCTCTGCTCAAAGATGAATATTACCAAGTACCATTAATATTTGCATTGTGACCTCCAGGTAGGCATTTCCTTTGTTTTATCATTAAATGACATCAATAATAGTTTGTCTTATAATATTTGTAATATCATGTTCGCTTTAATCAATGTAAACATCTATATAATGGTCCATCACTACTCAGTTGAGCTATATTTTTTTAACAGTTAACTTAATGGAAAAGTTATCAAGAATACTGAAATGAAAAATGATTTGCATTTCTACCCGACTCATCCAGTTTGTTTTAATATTTTAGGCTAAAATATCAGGAGTAACACTCCAAGATCAAACAGGATGCTTATAATGTGTAATGGCAAATTATTTCCAAATGAAATGAACCAATTTACACCTCTGCCAACAATCGGGGAAATAACATTTTTAACCAAAACTTAGCTATGAAAACAAACAAAAACAGGTCTCCTGATACCTGTCTCTGATGATGAAGTACTTCAAGGGGTCATCCCTATCTTCTGTGGGTGTAGCATAGCAGTTCCTCAGCAACAGCTTGAACTTGGAGGTATCTCCTGTCTCCAAGATGGCACCCACATAGAGCATAGACTCCACTGGAAGCACCACTTTGGCCCCTTCATAAGGGTGTGTGTAGCTCTGGTCTTGGAAGAGGGCCATTCTGACAGTGAACTCTCCTGCCCCATCCACATCAATATTCAGGGAACTGAGACGAGAAAAACCACAAGAGTGGAAACATCAGGCTTTGACCAGAAAAAAAAAAAAAAAAAAACAAATAAATCAAGCCCTACACTATTATAATGTTATGGAGAAAAAGATGCATCTCTGATCTCTAAATAAACTAGCTGATAATCCATTGAAATAGAGCACTTACTGGCATTTAAGCACTGAACTTGACAGGTTAGAAGCCTGTCTCTGGGATTTGCACCCATTCCCCCTGTGTGGCAGCTACATCAAGCTCTTACTCAAGGAACATGGGTTAGTATACAGCACCATCTTGTCACTTGGGCAATGGGGCTTGGGATCAGCTCTTACAGGATCACGATTTTTAGCCTTATGTATACTCTCTCCACCCCACAATCTTCAGCTGAATCCAGTTTGAACAAGATAAATGACTTTCATTTTTATATTTATGAACATAGGCTCCATGACACAGCCTGAAAACCTTTGAACTTTGACATTTTTAATCCTTCTCATCTGCAATTCTTAAACCCAGAAGGCAATCAGGGGATGGGACAGGCACCCTGGATTTCTGGCTGACAGTTTAGAAAAATCCCTTGGCAATTCTAGAGTTGTATAAAACCTAGTTTAATGAGCTTCATTCCAGGCACAAAGGTGCCGTGATAAACAAAATGCAAACAAAAGCCTTGCCTAGATCCAATCACACTCAAACTGTTGTTTCATTCTGTTTCTCATTAGCATAGTTGCTGTTTATTCAAAGGTAGACTTGGCTTAAATCTCCAGCCTGCAGGAAAACCTCCCTTACCACTTCCAATCTCTATCCCATTAAGATTAGGTCTGGGACCCATGTCCACTGACCTGAAGCACCCCAGTTTTCTCCTCCATTGCACTGTCTGATTGGTAAATGATTACCAGTTATGACTATTGATATGATTAGTTGTTTGCTGCCTTTCTCCTCAAGGTGAATGAACTTGTCTGAAGTTTTTGTTTCCTGAGCACATTTTAAGCACTGACCCATGGTACAGCATTGCTTCATGTAAAAGTTTTTACTCTTTGTGGTGGTATTGTGTTCCCCAAAATATTGTATACTCTAATAAATTTATCTGGGGTCAGAGATCAGACAGCCACTAAATACAAAGGCTAGAAAATGGTGGCACTCACACCTTTAATACTAGCATTCCAGAGATAGAAATCCCTCTGGATCTCTGTGAGTCCAAGGCCACATAGGCTTGGAAATAGCCAAGCATGGTGACACACACCTTTAATCCCAGGGAGTGGTGGTAGAAAGCAGAAAGATATATATAAGGCGTGAGGACCAGAAACTAGAAGCATTTTGGCTGGTTAAACATTCAGGCTTTTGAGCAGTAATTCAGCTGAGACCCATTCCGGATGAGGACTCAGAGGCCTCCAGTCTGAGGAGACAAGACCAGCTGAGGATCTGGCGAGGTGAGATAGCTGTGGCTTGTTCTGTCTCTCTGATCTACCAGCATGGACCCCAATAACTGGCCTCAGGTTTGATTTTATTAATAAGAACCTTTAAGATTCCTGCTACAACTCTTCACAAGTGCCTTGATCATGCTGAATGTTCTTAGCTATAATATAGAAATGTAGTGAGTGGAAGCTCCTGAAGTGGGGTGGTAGCACTGTGTGGACACCATAGATTGTGTGTGTGATCATACCTTACAATAGGCTCGAGTGCAGTTTGGAGGCTGATCTTCATGTCCAGTGGATAGGCACACTGGAAGTTGACATTGACGATGAAGTCCCTGATGATGAAATCAGTGGCCAAGGAGAGGGTGTTTCTGTAGATGGCATGGGTCCCATTGTTCTTCGGCATAAAAATGAAACCACATGTGTTTATACAGATGTGTGTAGGTGCATCTCAAACTCAGATCTGTCTGATTCCATAGTCAGTGTTCCCAGCTGTGCAGCCACCCAGAATTATGACCCCGAGGGAATAATGGGTCCTCTTTTTCCTGCAGTGCTAGCACTTATGGGAAGCCCAGAGTAAACCCTAGAAAAATAAATGACTGACCCTGCGGAAGAGTCAGGGGCTGGCATGCTTGCTCTTCCCACACCACCTCTAATTAAGATCATCATAATCAGAGCTGACCTTATGAAGCTCATGTGTTAAGTCCAGCCTAAGCTCTTTAACATGGACCACCGTGTAAATTCCCATAACCCTGGGGGCCAAAAGAGGTTAAGACATTTGCCTACAATCTCACAGCTATGAAGATGCCCCTATTAGCTCAAATACCACCCACTTACCTCCAGAGTGTTCCCACAGTCACCAGCCACAACAGGGCTGGTTGTGGACACCCAGTTGTTGGGCTCATTTTGCATGATTCTGCTGCAATTCCGGTTATTCAGGTAGGCAATAATCTCCTCCTTGAAACCCAGACCTCCCAGCAAACACTTGTCCAGCTTCACCTTCATCTCATCAGGTCCACAGTCCAGCTGGGGCTGCAAACTCTGAGTATCTAGGAGGCCAAGAGTGAGGTCAGTGGAGTGGACAGGGGACTGGAAACAGTGAGGCGCATCTACATTCTCTGCCTTGCGGCAAATCTACCATGCCTATCAAGTTGCAGAATAGACTAGATGGGGTCTGAGACCCCAAAAGAAGTCACACTCAGACTGATAAAGAGGTCTCGGATTGAAGACTTTCAAATGTCTCTGGTACAGGCTTGGCTTATCTACTCTTGGGAACCAAAGTGGTCCTGTATTCTACACTAAACCAAAGCTAGCGCCACTTGTGTTGATACAGTGTTGATACAGTGTTCCAGCTGCTGACCTGGAAGTTTGGTCTGGTTCCACCTGCAAGTTTGGTCTGGGCCTACCCTCTCTCACCCTTGAGAACCTACTGGCTTCATAACAAGGGGCCCAAATAAATCTCAAGATTTCCCCAGTGTCACTTCCGTGGCCCCTGACTCTGGTCCCTGCCTTATCCTGACCCTCTTAAGTCTCATTCCTTTTGCCCTGACTACTCAGCCCTAGGAGCTGCTCACCAGAAACATTGAGGCCCTGATTACAGACGCAGGTCCAATTGTCATCTTCCAGGACACACTCCTCCTCATTACGGCAAAGGATCTCACACGGCACTGGTGAAGCGGAGGGTACAGGCGTGGGTTCTGGAGGGGAGGGTACAGTCGGCGTGGGTTCTGGCGGCGTGGGTTCTGGAGGGGAGGGTACAGACGGCGTGGGTTCTGGCGGCGTGGGTTCTGGAGGGGAGGGTTCTAGAGGGGAGGGACAGAGGGAGAGGATCAGGATGCAGAGCAGCGTGGGTCTGAGTCCTCTCGTTCCTTCAGTCTTTATAAACATATGAGATGCTTTCCAGAAGAGCCATCCCTCCAACTCATGTTTCCTGATTCCCAAATCCAGCAGAGTGAGTTACAGCCCTGAAGCTGCCAGGCCAGTGATTTTAAGTCCACAGTTGCCAGGGTTATAGGGCCGGGGTTAAAATTCTGGTTCTTCTACATTGCAGCTCTGTGATGCAGAGAGAGCTATTGGACCTTTCTGTGCTCCAGATCCTAATATGAATGACGACATAGACCCCATTTCCAGTGCATCAATATGTTTAAAGCAGAGTAGAAGCAGGTACAGTGGGAGCAGTGGGAGCCGTTATTTCTGCCCTTTTGTTTCAGATTAGAAAATAGGTTCTCAGAAGAGTAAAATTTGACAAAAGTAAAATTCAAATGAGTCTGGGTTCTTGATATTGTTTGTGTGTGTGTGTCTGTGGTGTACATGCATGTGTGGGTATGGGCACTCATGTGCACAGAGGCTTGAGGAGGACATCAGGTATCTCTACTCAGCCACTCTTCACCTTATTCCCTTAAGCAGGGTCTCTCCCTGAACCTGGGTCTAGACGGCAGCTAGTAAGCCCCAGCCTTCTGTGTCTGTTTCCCATGGTCTTGGGGTAACAGGCATGCTTGGTTGCGTTCAGATTTTTACAGGAGTGCTGGAGATTGTCCCCACAGTCCTCACACTTGCTCAGCAAACACTTTTTAGCGACTGAGTCTTCTGACTAGCCTGATGTTATGCAACATGTGTTTATAATTGAGGCTATCTCACATTCAAATATGAATTTCTGGCTTGTGCCCGGTAGCTCCCAAATTATGTTTCCATGTGTATTTCTCAAAGGAACCCAGTGGGGGCTGCTTTGCTCAATCTCCTCTCGACCACCTCTGCTGGTTCCACTGAGTCCCGGGCACTAAAGGTCACCCTGTCCTGCCGCTGCTGCTTACCTGTGCAGTATCTCAGGCTGCATTCAGGGGTGCCCTGTAACCTGTACACATGATAACTTCCTGATTCTTCTGAGCAGGCCTTCACCTGGACCTCGGTACTCCAGAAGCAGCAATTTTCATTCCAGTTGGCACAGGCTGTGCGGCTGACAATGCCATCTCCCAGGATGGGGTGAGGCCCAGCCAACCACATGGGAGCAGAGGTATGGCACCGGTATATCTCCACACAGGCCTCTGGCATCTTCACTCCTCCTTCACCCACAAAGCGGTACCAGCCTTGCAAATGATCGTCACACTGGTGTGCTTGCTCCGTGTTCTCTATGCTTCTGGAGGGGTCATCCAGGACGGTATAATTCTGGCAGGGGTCAAAACAGACACCAGCCTCTGGAGTGCCAGGGGATCCACAGTCTAGGTCCAGCCCGTTGGAGCTGCTGTTTCTTGGGCTCCCATAACCTGAGAAGGACAGAGAGCATGTGGGTTTATTGAGCAACTCCACAGCCCTCAGGGTTTTTATCCTCTCTCATTCTGCTTTGAATGTCCTAAGGATCCCAATGAGGCTGACAGGTACACGTGACAGTTGTTAACACCAGAATGGTCAGTGAGGACTTTCCATGGTATTTTACATGCAGCAAGGACATCGGGGCCACTACCTTGTCTGACCCTCCAATGCCCCACCCAGGGTTTCAAAGAGTCTCTCTGTGGGCCACCAGCAAGATACTGTGTGTGTCTCACTCAATCAATGTTTGTTTTTCTCAGACTCCCTGAGAAAATCCTCAGACGTTAGTAAAGTGAATTAAGCAGAAATAAATATTGTCACATTGCTTGATCTGGCAAAATATGTCTTAAAATGAAAGTTGTCCTAAGTTGGACCCAACTCTAGAGGTAAGCACAAATTTGTTATATAGCCCTTGGAATTCTCCCATATATGTGTGAACACAGACACACAGACACAGAGAGAGAGAGAGAGAGAGAGAGAGAGAGAGAGAGAGAGAGAGAGAGAGAGAGAGAGAGAGAGAGAAAGTAATTTTTAAACATTGGTTGCAACCTTTAACTTATTATAAAATCAACATTGTTCCCTATCAGTAGGTAACAGCACAGGCCGGCATCCACAGATCAATCATGTCAATCATTCCCAAGCTTAGTGTTATTGGTATATTATTGACTGTGTTATTCAGTATTGTGCAACCACCTTTAAAATAGAATCATAAAGTCCTTGGCCTCTACCCACCCAATGCCTGTAGCTGCTCCTAAAGACTCCAGGCATCTCCAGTGGTTCCAGAAAGCAGAAATCACCTCCACTGAAAACCAAGCATCTAACAGGACCATTTCTGTTGCTGATTCTTCTTTTAGGGGTTGGGGGTGAGGGTGAGCTATGATGTGTGAGGAGGCAGAGAAGTGATGAAGGGGATGAAGGCGATGAGCAGAGGCTGGAAGAGGGGACTTAGATGCAGCTCTGACCTGCTGGCTGGTGACTTTGAAAATCGATTAAGCTCTCCTGAGACTCATGCAATACCACCCCAAGAGTTCAAGGGTTCCAAACTCTTGTCCCACGTCCCAGGTCCTAACATTTGCTCACCTGTGTTCTTAATCCTGTAACTGACTTATAAAGATCTTTCTCAGTGATTCTCTATCAACATGAATTCCATAAGTACTGAAGAGATAGCTCAGTTAGTACAGCACCTTGTAAGCATGAAGATGTGAGTTCCATCACAGAGAACCCACTTTAAGAAGCTGGGCATGGTGGCATGAGCTTCGAATCCCAGTGCTGGGGAAGTGGGAATAGGCTGGTCCCCGGGGCTCACCAACCAGCCAACCTAAGCTATGGTGGAAATGAGAAACCCTGTCTTACCAAGCAAAGTGGATGGTATGGGAGGGATGGCATCTAAGGTTCTTCTCCAGATTCCACATGGGCATGCGCATGCTTGTGTTCACACACACACATTCTCTCTCTCTCTCTCCTCTCCTCTCTCTCTCTCTCTCTCTCTCTCTCTCTCTCTCTCTCTCTCTCTCTCTCTCTCTCTTAGATCTTTGGAAGACAGAAATATCGTTAAATCTAGTACCTTCATTTTTACAGATAGAGGAGGAGCAACTTGATAGAAGAGGAGAAAGGAGGAGATGGGGTGATCTTTCTTATCTTCTAGTCTGTGATCTCTGATCACCCCCAGAAAGGGGTTGCAGAAGCTAAGGTTACTGGCTCCCCTGCCCTTTCAGGCCCTGAGAGATTGATGCTTCCCTTGCTCTCTCTAGCTCTGAGTTTTTGCTCCCAGCTCCCTGTTCCTGGAACCAACCTGAGTGGCCTTTTCTGCTCCCTCCCTCTGCTCACTCCCTAGGTGTTGCTGAGCATCTGTGATCCCTGGAAAGCAGACACTCACCTTGCTGTATTGTAGATGGAAATGCCAGTGTCAGAATGCAGGAGGCCACAGCCAGCCACAGCAAGTTGCAGCCCACCATCCTTCCCATAAAGTGAGCCTGGCAGGTCACACTGCAGCCTACAGACTCTCCATGCAACTATGGAAAAGGAAAGGCTCGCATCAGGTCAGGCCAGCAGACCTCTGCGTCTGTGGGTAAGGCTGAAATTCAGTTCAGCACCTATCATGTGACTAAGGTTGCTTGAAGCCCCTTGCACGGTTTGCCTCACTTAAGTCTCTGAACCATTCCACAGGAAGAAGCTGCCATGGTTCCCATTTTGAGGTCAAGAAGTTTAGTTTCAAGAGTACTAAACTCCACGGGAAGGTACTGTTATGCTTCCCATTTTGTGGGTGAAGTTGAATTTCGAGAGTATGTTAATCCAAATCATGTCTCTATAGCTGCTTCTCTGTGCGATTATGGACATTACATGGACCCGAGAGCAGCTCCAGGTTTTCAGAACCCAAACTGCTGGCATGCTGTGCAGAAATGGAGAGGGATAGGATTAGGGGCTTTCCAAGGTGAAGTCTGTAACAAGCAAGCCAAAGGTGGGTGAGTGCTGCAGAATGTCCTAGAGTGCTATTTGGAAAGTCCCTGCACAAGTGGAAGTGGACACTTTCTAGAAATTGAAGGCAAAGATTCTAAAGCCTGCTGGTACCTATGGAAAAGAGTGTTGTCTGTCTTGATTACATGCACTGGGTCCTGCTAAGACCCTCTGGGATTCCACAAGCATAGTGCCATGTTAGACTAAATTCTAAGCTCCTTTCTCCCAGTACAGAAGAGGGCATACACTGGCTCCCAGTAAAACAATTACATGATAGAATAATTAATAAATGAATAAGCAAAGCAAAGAAGCAAGTAAATAATAGATAGGCACGTGTCTGTCAACTTCAGGTGATATTCACCCTTCTGTGCCCTGAAAGGGGACCTCTAGGTGATTTCTTGCAGCTTCTGAAAGATGTAAGTCAGAGCTAGAACCCTGTTTCTGATAGGATATCATGAGTCCATTATGAGAGAGCAGGGACATAGGAGCACCCAGAACTGTGATTTTGAGAGATGCCAGCCCAAGTGGGCACCTGTGTCTTCTTAGTGGGAAGGAAAAGGATATCATATATAAGCTGGCCAGAGCCAGCAAGTGACTGGGACCATGAGCTGAGTGATTTGGGGAACATTTGACAATGGTCCAGAGTCACTTCTGGGTTCAGGAAGCTTACAGATGCCTCAAGCAAGTCCATTAGGTAAAGAGGGTGAAACTCACCTGCAGGCGAGGATAAAGCTCGCTGGGCCTTGGAGCAGAACTTACCTTAAGGGAAAAACTCAGAGCCTCCTTCCTCCTCTGCCCAGCGTGGGAACATAACCTGCTGTCTGCTCCATTTATATGGACACTCCCCACTCATGTGGCTCTTCATGATTGGTGCTGAGGTAGGAACTTGTGCCTGTTGGATGAAGGTAAGATAAGCCATTTACCGTAAAGGGTAGTGAAAGAAGAGCTTTTGTGCCACCTGCATGGAAACTCTTCCAGAAGGTGCTATTCCACACAAATGTTTCTCTGTAAGCAATTGCAATATGTACTTAAGGCTGGCTACCCCAGACGTTGCCAATATCTTGCAATCATTATTTCTCCCATCTAATCCTCTAATAAACTCACAAAGTCAATGCCATGTTCATTCCCACAGAACAAACACTAACAAGAAGGAAGCAAAAATGCCCCAAGGAAAGCAGACAGAAACCAAATAGGCTTGTTTGCTTACTAGGTGTCCAGTGTAATGTCTGTTCCTAGCTAATTGCATTAGAGCACTTCCTCTTGGTTCACCTGGTTCCAGGGAGCGTGAGAGAACCAAGGGATGGGGTTTGAGAACTTACCATCCCTAACCCATGGAATTTACCAAGTTTCCAATGACTTATTTAGAAATGGTGAATTGTTGAATGGAAAGAGATGTCCAAGGCTTTTGGACAAAGTCAGCATCGGTATAGCCTCACCTCCAAGGCCTTAAAATAAGTGGGCTAGCCTAGGTATTGGAAAGCACAGAACTGAAAAGGGCTTTAAAAGTTAGGTCATATCCAGCCCCTTCCCCAAGTCTTCCAAGATCTAACCCCATTGTCCCTTACCTAATGTCTTCTTCTTCTTCTTCCCCTGAGGCCCATTTGTACTGCCCAAATATTCTTTGATGTGTGGATGTCCCTGGGGGAAGTTGACTTACCAGGAGCTGTGCTCTTAAACAGGATGGACTCTCCCTCTCCCAGTCAACATTTACAGAAGCATTTTCTCAATTGAGGTTCCTCTTTTAACACTAGCCTGTATCAAGTTGCCAGAAAACCAGCCAGAATGGAGGGCTTCAGTCCATGATGACCAAGAGCCCAGTATACTTTAGTCCATGGCAGCAGGAGCATGTGGCAGAGGCTGTTCACATCTTCAAAGACCAGGAAGTGGACAGCAAGATAGGAAGTGAGCTCAGGCCTAACCTTGAATGGTCTGCCCCCAGTGCTGGACTTCTGCCAACTGCACCCCACTTCTTAGAGGATCCACAGCATCCCAGATAGCACCCTCAGCTGGGGAGCAAATGCTGGAAAGAAGGGACTGTGAAGACCTTCTCAGATCCAAACTATAGCACAATTTCAAATTCACCTGCAGGCTGAGTCCCAGCTGAGAAGACTCTCCTGAGCCTCATTTCTGGTCCTCAGATGCTTCTGAGCTTCTCCTTTTGGTAGAACTCAAACAGCAGCTTCCAGTCTGAACTCATCACCTACCCTGGCTTCCCTCCTCTCCCCACGTCTACCTTCTGTCTTGGTCAATGGCATCCCTGCTCACCGGTCTTCCAAACTGGAGACGAAATACGACTCTCTCCTTTCCTCCTCGGGCCTCAATTCCAGGAAGCTCCACATCTCATCTTTCTTTATTTCCAATGCCTCTTGACTCTACCCACTCTTCTTCGTTTTCACTTCACCAATCCAAACTTGGGTTGCCATCTTGTGAGACGGTGATTTTAGCGCTGGTTATAGATTGTTCTCTGCGCTTTCATTCTTGTCTCCTTTGTTTCTGCTGTTTTTTTCTGTAGCCTGTGTTACCTTCTGCTCCCAGCACTCCATGCCCCAGGTATCTGACCCTGTTTATGCTTCCTACTTCTGCTCTGACTTCACTGTACCAGCTCTGCTACAGCCAATGCCAGATTCTGTGAACTCTTTCTCATCCCCAGATGATTGCACAACCCTTCTCCTGCCTAGATTACTCCATGTTCAGCCTTTTCCTGTTTATCGCCTCTGCACATCCTGTCTGGTCCTCTGCTCTGTCCCCAGGTCCCTCCAGGACAACTCTAATCACATTCACTTGCCTGGTAACTAGTCTGTCAAGTCTGCAGGCGCTTTGAGGACATAGATATTGATCTTCACTTTTGATCTTTAATAAAAAAAATGGACAAAAGCGAATGTATATTCTAGGCCCTCTCTAATGAGTAATGTGTCCAATGTCCAGATGTTGGCCAGTCTTGATGGAAAGATACAAGTTTCTGCCTCAGGACCTTTGCACTTGCTATTCCAGCCACCTATGACCTTCTTCTCCAGCTGCCCCCAGCAGGCTGGTTCACTCCTTTACTCTCTCAGCCTCTGCCCGTCAGAGCGCGCGTACCCTATCATTCTCTGTGAACCAACACTCCTGTCACACAACCGTGCTGTCCTCGCCTTTCCCCCTCCCCAGGGGTTGTCACCACTTGTCACATCTCATGGTTATTATTTCAAGGCCTCGTGCTTACCAAAATGGCTCTGTTTGGTAATTTGCTGTTTCCTCATTACCGTAAAGGTGTCTGGTATTTAATCTGGTATCTAATTAATATTCATTAATTAATAGCTACGGGGTACATTAAGCAGACAGAAAGCAAGAAAGGAAAAGACGTGAGAGGGGCAGAGATGTCATTGCGACATTTCTCCTCTGCTCCTTCCTCAGCCTTTGTCAGCTTCTGCTCTCGTTTCACTGGGCCCAGACCTTCTCTTCAGGTTCTGCGGCTCCTGAGTCACAACACAGACAGTTCTGTATGGAGTCACTCAGCCCAAGGTGACCACAGACTAATTGTAGTTGGGACAGCACTAGACTAGCCTCTGGGCCATCTGCACAGTTCTTACGTAACAGCAAGAGGCCTGCACGTTCTGTATGTGCCCGTGCGTGATAAAAGTTCTTAACATAAGACACACTGTCCCAGTAACCCTTGCTTCAAAGCCACACGTGTGACTTTCCCTGATGTGAGGCCTTGGCCTCCCCTGGAAAGTCCCAGTGGGTGGCCAGGGAACCAGGTGCCTCAGAGAAAAGTGTTCTCATCAGCACCGGTGACATTTTTTTCTAGTGACCTTTGGTTAATCTCTGTGTGTCTGAGCATAGAAAGGATCTGGTTCCTGTCCATGTATGAAGCCCCCCAAAAACTTTCCACCAATGGAAAAAGGGTGGGTGTGCTTTCCTCTACTGCTGACACCTGAGTAAAGATCTACAGCTTTAGGGATTGGCAAGTAAAAGCCCAGTGAACAGGAGCCCTAAGGAGACATAAGACACTTGCCATTGCTTCTACAGCTCTTCTCTAAAACCTAAGATCCCTGAATGCCGGAACTGGCTCTGTCCCATCTGCCAATGTTTCTTAGCATCCAAGTGTAAGCCTAGAACATGTGAAGTCCTCAAAGTCCACCTGTGGGAAACCAAATGTGCCCTACAAGGGCATCATGGTTGCCCCCATTGTAAAGAATCAGCCACCTCCTGTTGAGTGTTAAACTCTCCATTTCTGGAGTCCCTGGCAGCCTTTGGAATGGCATATTCAAGCTCCGAGGCATGGCTTGTGCCTGCCTTGCTCACTGTCTGTGCACACTGCCATATCCCCAGCATAGCTTAGTAACTGGCACAGTAGCAGCTCAGCAAATATTTACTGAATGAAAGGATGGCTGTTTCTATGAATGGATAGTCAGGTGACATTCAGGCACAATGTGTGTCTTATCTAAGGTAGCACAGCAGAACATTTGTTTTAAGAGCCCAGTTTCTTGGAGTGACTATGAAGTCCATAAAGATAGGGAAAGAGTCTGTTTTATTTCTACCACGCGATGCACAGTATGGCAGACAGTGCCCACAGTGACTGTGTGCTCAGTAAAGATTTGAATTAATGACTCCAAAAGCTGATGTTTTAAACTTATGATTATTAGTATCCTTTAAGGAGACAGGGGCTTCATATACAGATGCATCACAAGTCCCATGTGGAGAGAGAGCAGCATGGAAAGGTAACAACTTCGTCTTGATAGTGAGGCTTAAAGGAAGAAGAGTAAGTGCAAGCTGGAGGCAGTGTGAGCTCCCTCTGCTCTGGCTGGAAACCAGCCTGCATCTCCCCTCCTGGCCAGCAAGAAGTGAGTTGGGAGCCACACTAGGTTTCCTTCTGTCCATCAGTGAAACATCAGGGTCAAAGTGGCTGAGAGAAACAGAGGCATCCAGATGCTCAGGAGCCCTAAAAAATAAACAATGATAGGGATGTGGCAAGTGCTTTTGTGCAAAGTAACGTAAGACGCTTTCCTACAGACTAACCAAGAATGAGGGCACCCTCTCTGGATGAGGAAGTTCAAACGAAGATGTCTACACTGAGTGGGGAAGTGGATAAAGGCTCCATTCCACGTGGACTAGTCTGAAAAAGACAGCAATGTCTCCCAAGGTACCTGGTGTGCAATGTCGTGCAACACCTAACAGACCCAAACAGCCTAGCCTCTGGAGGCTCATCACAGAGGACATGCCTATGTCATGGGAGAGCCGTGACTTTCCAGCTCTGAGCTCAGGGGTACAGAACTCATGCCAAACATCATAGCAGCCTTCTCAGACCCAGGTTCCACAAGCCAAGAAAAGCAATGGCTGTGTGGATTCAGTTTTCATCTGGAGTGTCAAATAAGGCAGGAGGCATAAGAAAAGGGCCACAAAAATGTCACCAGTTCCTGGCTTTTGTGGTCTGAGGCTTAAAGAAGAAAAAAAAATGGAGTTTCTTGTTTGTCTGGTGTGCTCAATGCACTACTAAGCTTGGTTCTTGGCAAATAATGGCCTCGACAAATATTTGTAACCTGTGGAGCACCTCCTGAAGGTATTAGAGATGAGCCTCAGCTTCTGGAAGTGCCAAAAGGGGCAGGTGTGCTTGTCCTTGGGGAACAGGTTTGTAATAAATATATATGAATATCTGAACAGCTAACATGCAAGCATGCAACTGCAACCGTGTGTATATCTGTGTATAAAGACATGAGCATGTGTGATCTGTGTGTACAGATACAAATGTGTGATTGGCATGTGCATATATGAACATTTATGATCTGTATGTGCATATATGAGTATTGTGGTATGAATGCAAATATGAGTGTGTATGGTTTGTATGCTATGAGTTGTCTTTCTATACTCTGAATATGTGTTGCTCACACTGGTTAATAAGTAAAACTGCCTTGGCC